CTCTACCCATAGACAGAGCTGACATCCTAATGTCTGCCACCGAAATCATCGTTAAATGCGCCAAGGAGTCGTTTGGAGGCTGTGCAGAACGCAGGACTTAGGCGCTAACCAGATTTATATGGGAGGACGATACACTACTGTGCAGACTATACATCAAACTAATGATCTAGTGGTGTTCTTGCTTGAGAGAGGGCTTTCAAATGATACTGTTAATGTTAAAGAAATGAATATTATCATTATGATAATCAATCACGGATAACCTCATGCTTGTTTGCATGATTGTACTAAAGTTTGAGTGGGTGGCGGAGTTATTAATAGCATCCGCTTGAAATCATGACCCAAGGTCGAAAGATGACCAGCAGAAAGACCAGTATCACGATCAAAACTGAGGAAGTTCACAGTCCTCGTATGGCAACACTTGGCCTGAAGTTCTGAACCAGTTTAATGATAGACTCTGGACGTGGCTGGGTGATTGCTAAGAACGTACAGTAAGGTAATAGACAGACGCTGGATCGCCAAGGCGAGTAACGATGAGCATATCACTTTCAACGGAACAATGGGATAGATCCACTGGTGCCTTTGGAACGCTCGATGGATGTAATCTCGCAATCCGTGGGGTCCTTGGTACCATCCAGGATATACCCAGCCTTCATGAATGACAATACTGCTCCCTTTGTCTTTTTCGGGGGTTTAGTAGTATTCCAATATCCCCAGAAAAAGGAAAAGAACGAATCAAAAACCTCACCAAGATGAAAAAGTTTTAAGTACTCCGTAGTACAAAGGATATTGTGTTCCTGTTGCCGCCAACGCAAAGGCAAATTTGAAATGGATTAAAATTATAACCAATGATCTGGTGTTCTGGTCCAGCAAATATGCCGCCCCTGAGAGACGCGCGTGCATTATTGGGACACACAGAGGCTCAGCACAGGCTGGGTTGATCTGCTCTGGTGGTGGATGCTGTGGGTGGTTGTCCGCCAATGGAACTTTTGCGAGACAGTGGATGAGGTGAGGTACCTACAGAGCATGATCTGAGCATTACGGCAGTTTCAGCAAGAAATTCGATGGCTGATACGGTCATCCACCATCTTGCGCTTGTAGACTTGTCATGCTGAAGGAGCTTCGGCATAAGGTAAAACCTAGTTTTTTCCCTGCATAAGCACACTGTAGACTTAATCTTCCAATATTTCCTTTCCTTTGTTACCTGTTACCTACCCTGCCCCTAAAAATCTGTCTCGAATTGAAACGGCAGCAAATCCACTGGACCCAAGGACAGCTGCCTGATACTACTCACTCTGCGACCCTCAGGGACCTTAATTAATGAACGCAGTGATCACCTGTCATTGGTCCACCTCACAACACAACCCCGTGCTGACTCAGCTCTCGAGGGTGTTTCATCGGCATTCCTGCGGTCTCTCCTGCGACCAGACCTTCTGTCCCATCCACCCCCTCCGTTTTCTTGTGTTTCTGGAGAGATCAAGAGCGAAAGGGTGCCAATTTCTACCTCTCCTACTACCCTCGTTCTTTTATTTTCTTTCTTTTGATATCTCTCTTTGCCGCTTCTTGACTACTCTTCCAAATCTCGAAGGGTCTTGAGGGAAAACAGAAAGAGACGGATAGAGAACGACGGCCATCATATCTCAGGGAAACCCCGTCCCCTTGGTTGTCTTACCCTTCTAGGCTATACACTGTGTGTTCGCCGTCCCGCTCGCTTCAATCGTCCTCCAACGACTTCAATATCGCTCTCGACACTCTTTTATATACACTGCGACATTCGTCACTCTTTCCCGGAATTTGTTATCGATCGCTTCGTCGCCGTATCGATTCGTGCGATCCTTTCTCTCGTTTACCTTGCCTAGAAGAGTCGCGCTGGATATCGGTCTATGGTCCCTTCAAATGACTTCTTGAACAACAAGCCGCAATACACCCCGGTCTTACTCGAACAATTTTGAATCGGCACTCTATTTGAATTCTACTGCTCGTTACCCTCGCTTCCACATTATTACAATACAACCTTTGGTCGATACCACATTTCCGCATCCGGCCGGTCCACACTTGGTACTCTGGAGTACCACCTCCCATTCGACAGTTATCATTCCAGCCTTTTTGACTGTGCTCTATTCTCACCTCCATCCACGAACTCCTTCCCCGCTGTCGAGTGCAAGAACACAGCTCGACAAAGCCCTGCCACCATGCGGTTGATATCGCTAATAATCAGTTTGTTCGTCGCTTTTCTCGCAACACCGCTTGTGTCTGCGACTAAGCTCATCGAGTCCAATGCCCTGAACCTGTGCCAAGACAGTTCGAACTTCACAGCAACCTTCTTCAGTGTCACCTTCACGCCCAACAATCGATCATTAGCCTTTGCCTTTGATGGAGTCGCTGCGATCTCCGGTAAGGTTACCGCCGAGCTTGTTCTCACTGCTTATGGATATGAAGCAATGAGGAAAGAGCTGGATCCTTGCGAAATGAATCTGGCGGGTCTTTGCCCAATGAACGCTGGTCCCATCGATGTCCCCAGCGCCAATATCATCGTGTCAGAGGATGTGGCTAAACAGATTCCTGGTGAGGATGCCTGCACTGACTGCTGTCTGAAAAGGGTGTAATCTCGCTAACCATACCATTAGGCATCGCATACACGGTTCCAGATCTTGATGCCAAGGTCCGGATCTATATCAACTCTACAGAAACTGGCAAGAGTATCACCTGCATTGAAGCTAGTCTGTCGAACGGCAAGACGGTTTACCAGAAAGGCGTCGGTTGGACAACAGCTATCATCTCCGGTTTGGGTCTTGCTGCTTCCGCAATCACTTCTGGTCTCGGTCACTCAAATACCGCCGCTCATGTTGCAGCCAATGCTCTCTCTCTTTTCGGCTTCATGCAGTCGCAGGCTATGTTCGGCATGGTCTCCGTTGCAATGCCGCCGATCGTCGAAGCATGGACGCAGAATTTCCAATGGAGTATGGGTATCATCCACGTTGGGTTCCTGGAGACCCTTTGTACTTGGTATCTACGATCGACCGGTGGAACGCCTTCAACCCTTCTGTCCGAGTTGTCTACCACTTCCGTCGAAGTCCTGAAACGCCGAAAACGTTCTATTGAGACTACAACGAACCTGATGAAGAGGGGCGTCAACGAAATCGTGAAAAGAGCTAGTGCGGCCAGCGACGCGGCTACTTCCTCAACCGTCGTTGTGCGCGGCATTGATCGTGTCGGTTTCATAGCAGGCATTGAACAGACCAATATCTTCCTTACGGGTCTCATTTTCTTTGTCTTCTTCGTCTTCATAGTGATGGTCATTGTCGCTCTCTTCAAAGGCGGGTGTGAGATCCTCGCCAAGAATGGAAGGATGAAGAGTGACAAGTTCTCTGATTTCCGGAATGGCTGGAAAGTCGTGGCACGAGGCATCTTGTTCCGACTGACCTTGATTGGTTTCCCCCAGATGTGCGTGCTGTGTCTCTGGGAGTTTACCCAGCATGACTCGGCCGCTGAGATGGTACTGGCGGTTATCATGTTTCTGTCAGTGCTCGGCGCTCTGGGCTGGGCTGCTTTCAAAGTGATCCTCCTGGCCAAGCGCTCGGTTGTCATGCACAAGAACCCAGCATACATCCTCTACTCTGATCCCACATGCCTGAACAAGTGGGGATTTCTGTACGTGCAATACCGTGCGACTGCCTACTACTTCGTGGTGCCGGTCCTAGTGTACCTTATTATCAAGGCCATGTTCATTGGCCTTGGGCAACCCGCTCCTGTTGTACAGACCGTCGCCCTGGTCATCATCGAGGCCGCCATGCTCATTGCCGTCAGCGTTCTGCGGCCTTGGATGGACAAAAAGACGAACATCTACAACATTACTATTGCCGCCATCAACTTCGTCAATGCCATCTTTTTGCTGTTTTTCTCGGAGGTCTTCAACCAACCAGGAATCGTTACTGGCGTCATGGGTGTTATCTTCTTCGTTTATAACGCGGTCTTGTCGCTGATTCTATTAATTCTGGTGCTTATCGCATCCATCTACGCCATTGTATCGAAAAACCCCGATACCCGTTACCAGCCCATGAGAGACGACCGCGGCTCGTTTATCAAGTCGCAGAGCCAATTGACTACGGAGCTGGACGCCCTAGGTGCCACTGCACGCGGCGATGTCAAGGACACCTCGTACAAGTCAAGTCCCTTCGACGACGACAATGGTTCTTTCTCAAGCGGCAATGGAGCCAGCATTGGACGTCATAATCTGCAAGCATCTCATGACACGACGCCGCACCGCCAAGCCCCAGTCTCTCCAGTTGATCCTTCGGTACCTCTATTCCCCAGCGACGGACGGGGGCCGCCTAACTATGGACGTTCACCATCGCCAATTCCCTACCGCGCCCAGCACAATGCCAGTCCATGGCAGAGAGGGGCCGGGTATGATCATTAGAGGATCCCACTGACTATGTTTTCTCTAAGCCTTTCTGGAAATGAAGTTATGGCGTAAGCGCGGGAGTGGACTGACCAATTGTCCTGTCCTCTGAACTCTGATATTTTCCTTTAACCCTTTCGTTGCTCGTCCACCCTTTCTACCTCCTTTCCTTTTGCTTCATTGTGATATACTCCAAAGTCCTTTTTTTTCCCCCCCACCCTGGCTATTGATCTTACTATATCCTTAATGGATGTTCTCTTTTTCCCTTGCGATTACAGCTGGCGTTCTGAAGCATTGGATTTGGATATCGGGACCTGGGTTTGTGGACTTTTCGCAAGTATTTTAGGGACCTAGAGTCGTCTGTGCTCTGCATTGTCCGGTGGTGTATCATATCGCAGTTCCATGTGAGGACAGGAATCATATTGCTAGAACCTGCGTGAGACACGCATGGTATCCCAACATGCTCATTATTATAGAATACGTCTGTGGTTACCACAACTGGATACAAGTGTGGACTCATGTTGGAATGATATAAACCCGAATGATCCTCAATTGGACCTTCGAACGTATATGCGTGTGGCAAGGTTATATTGCAGTAAGATTAATCATTGCCACTAAATGCATTCGTATAACATCCTGTTAAACCACGCTGAAGTAGAACAAATATAAAAAGTTCGTAGAGATCTACCGACACGAAAGCCCGAGTAACATCACAAGTAATACAACACAATGACCAACGCAAACTCGATCATCGCCTTTCACCTAGTCCCGGAGGAGGTCCCGGCAGACTCGAGGAGCCCATCCCCGGCGGCGCCGGGGGACCCGACATACCGGGCCCCGGGCTCGGGCTGAAACCGGGCTGGCCGGGAGGAGGCACAGGAGGGAATCCCCAGCGCCAGGAGGAGGAATCTGGAAATTAGGCGGGAAGCCGCCTGGTGGCGGGACGGGGGAAAGCCTTGACCGGGGGCATGTTGCCGAGAGGCGGAGGGGGAAAACCTCCTGGGGCGCCGCCTGGTGCTGGGGGAAGGGAGGTGGGAAGGGGAGGCCTCTACCGCCGGGTGGTGCTGTTGGAGTGTCAGTGATAAATCGGGAGCAGAGAATTGGGACATGGAGGGTGTGGACGTACGAATGGGCATGCCTGGGGGAACTCCATTGGCCCCTCCGGGGGGAGGAATGCCGAACGGAGGAGGTGGGAGTTGACCGGGGCGACCTAAGCCAGGGATATTTGTAAGTATTTTTCCAACATAAGAGAAGAGGATTGTTTCCCTGAGCAAAGGTAATGTTACATACCAGGGAATCCGAACGGTGGGGGAAAAGCGCCCGGGGGAGCCATTGCAGGGTTGGGAACAGCTTGGCCCTCAGCGGCATATGAAGACGTGATCGAGTCAATGACGGATTGTGCCTTTTCCTGTCCGATCTCTGTACCAATTGTCAGCACCGTCAGCGACAGCCTGTGGTTGGGGAGAGGGTAGACTTGTGCATACGTTGATAGTATTCCACCACGTTTCTCAAATGATTTCGACCCGAATTGTGAGCCTTACGCACGCTCATCGAGTCGTGCGTGAGATATACATCGCAGTAGTCACCTGTATACAGAATCCACCGTTAGAATCACCACAGCTGAGGTTGAGGTCGTACTGATAGATGACTGCGTTCGGATGCGATTGCGCATCCGAACGTCTGATATCGACCGGAAAAGAAGACCTACAGAAGAGTACAGCGGATGTCAGCTTGGATCTTCACGTTATAGGGAAGAGATACTTATATTTTGGCATTTTCAAATGTAGAAGTGATTGCTTCTGCAATCGTATGGGAGAAGTTCGAATGGGTGGCGCTCAAAGGCGCGTTGCGCGTTGGACGAGGATTGTGCGAGGAGTCAACACAGATTTTGCTGATCAGATGAGCAGCCCTCAGATTGCAGTACAACTCCTGTCTCGTTTGCCAATACTTCAGTCGCAAAGTCGGGTTGTTAATCAAAGCATTGTCGCAAGTAAATTTAGCTACGGAGCGGAGGAGGTTATCAGAGCGGTGTAAAGTGGCAGAATCTGGTGATGTCCTCGGGCTCGAAGGTGTCAAGGCCAGCGCCGTTGCCTGAAAGCAACACCATGTTACGAGGTTGCAATGATGAACATATTCAGTCGATTATCTCAGGCATGGCTAATGCTATTCAAAGCAGTACGCAGAAACCATGGCAATTTGGAGGAATTGCGAGCTAAAATTTAGCACTGTTGACCATCACTCGTGCAGCAGCATGAGTCAACATTGCATTACCATGCGCTGCACGTCCTCATAGAGCTCAACTGGGATGGAATACGCGAGCCGAGCGAACAAGTATCGTCCTACATCCGCATTCCTTTCTCATTCAGGGAGGATATCCCAATTTGGCCATATTAAATGACAAGAGTTGTTGAAGCTGTTTGCTCATGCTTAGTAGATCAGTAGCGTTATGTGATGGTTCTCACAATGATTTCTGCCTGAACCACTCTTCATAGTTAGAGCGATCTGTGGTTGAGCATTGTGAGAGATCCGGGGAACCTCTCTGAATCATCTCAGTTGTGATTCATCATGTCGTCGATGTGTTCGACGTGTCAACGTGTTCTTCATCGACGGACTGTAATGTGCTGCAACTGCTTACATTTGCAAGTCTCGAAACGTCAAGATCAGAAGTTAGCAGCCATGGCCGACACAAGCAGTTTCTACCAAGGAGAGGCATTATACAAGGTTGAGGGAAATCCAACATCTCATGAGTTTCAGTCAAATAAACCTTGCAAGAACGACAGCCCAGCTCAGTGTTCATGCTGCAACCCAAGCGGATGGCGCCGTGCAGTCAAGATCCTCGTTCTTGTTGCAGTGCTTTTTGCAGTTCTAGCTGGAGTAATAGTAGGCATTGTCCTAGGAACGAGGGATACTCGATATCCAGATTATTTACCTCTTGACTATTTTCTGGTGGACGAGTACCACCCATCCTCCTTCTTTGATCACTTCTGGCACTTCACAGACGAGGACCCTACCTATGGATTCGTCGAGTAAGTAAACAACCTTAGGCAATCTGCATTGACCTCGCGCTTACAATCGACAGGTATGTCGATCGTAAACAAGCCGAGTCTCTCAACTTGATACGCTCTACAGATTCCTCTGTAAGCATCAGAGTCGACAACAAAACCCGATACGCACCCCGAGGCAGAAAGTCTGTCCGACTCGAGTCCAAGAAAGGCTACGACACGGGCCTATTCATCTTCGACATTATCCACACACCTTACAGCTGTGGAACCTGGCCCGCCCTATGGCTAGCGGACACATACAACTGGCCGCTCAACGGGGAAATCGACGTCCTCGAAACAACAAACAGAGCTACAGAAGGCAACGTGGTCACCCTGCACACCGACAAGGCCTGCAGCGTCAAGGGAAGACGGAAGCAGCTAGGCAGCGCGCAGTACTCAACCTGCGACGATAAGCACGGGAACGCGGGCTGTGCTGTCCAGGCTCGCCCAACGACGTATGGCGAGGAGTTCAACGAGAATGGCGGTGGTGTATGGTCCCCCGTTCTGTCTTTCAAGCATCAAAATATTGACTCGGTTTCCAGGTATACGCGGTCGAGCTCCGAGAAGCCGGAATCCGAGTCTGGGTTTTCCCTCGCGACTCCATCCCAGACGACATCTCGAATCCGGAGCGCAGGCCTGACCCGTCCTCTTGGGGCACAGCTCTGGCTGACTTCCCCAGCACACACTGCGACATCCCGTCTCACTTTAGCAACCAGAGCATCATCATCAACATTGATCTGTGCGGCGAGATGGGCGCCCAACAGGAGGACTACAACGATTTGTACGATTGTCCAGCAACATGTGAGGAGTTTGTCGCTCGCAACCCGCAGAATTTCTCCCAGGCTTATTGGGAGTTTCGCAGTTTTCGGATCTATCAGACGATGTGAACGGGGGTGGGGGTGGTTCTAATTTGACTCGCTGTACTTCCGTGGGATGTTGAATTTTTTTTTTTTTGTGTTTATTGGATGACCTGCGACTGGCTCGCGGGATCTTGCTTTATATATGGACTTGCGGGTTCATATTGGTGATTGCCGCTCTTCCTGGCTTATGTCTAACGCAATTGATACCCATATTGATCTCTTCTCTACTTGATTGCTGGTGAGCGTAGTACTATTAGTGCAAGCAGAGCGCAAGAAATGCAGGTTACCCGAACCCTAACGACAAGAGACCTTGCGTAAATCACGCAAACCTGATGTGTCCAGACAACCCGCCGTGACGTGATCGAGGATGAACCAGAGGCCTCCTCCTGAGACCACCATAGTCACGTTTTCACCCCGCTCCAGCTGATTCGAGTGACAATCTGACTTTGAGGCCTTAGGTCTGTCAAGGATCCAGCGGGAGATTAACCAGTAGTCGCCAGGAACCGGAGCGGTCAAAACCCCAAGCCGGCCCAGACCGGGGCATTCTGTTACTTAAGAATAAGCCGGCCACAGGGCTCTAGTCCCTCTGATCTTCAGGCTTTAGCTAATATTAATAATGACTTGACGACTTCAACTCCGCAGTATGATGCAGGGGAAAGAAATGCCGCATACTGGGGATGTGTACGGAGTATGCAGTTTTGTACGACTGTGACACTGGATGCTGATGTGCATGCTGGTGCTACACACGTCGCAAATGGACAAGTGGAGGGTAATGGGGCGGTTTTGTTGGGAAGGTGATCTCCGACTGCAAAGACTACCTTAGAAAGTATAGTTGTTCTACGGTAGTCCGTTGGAGTTTGGGGAAGAGGGGTTCACCAAACCCAAGTCCCCAAACAGTTAAGCAGTAGACTACCTCAATAGAGTAGGAGGATCCAAATCTAAGGGGGAAAGGGACCTGCCACGAGGGGTATTGAACCCTTTAGAATGCCATGAATGATAACCCCTATTCTGCTGGTGAGATCAGGGGGAGATATCACGGGATGCTGACTGCTGGTGGTGCCAGCATGACAGTTAGGTACAGTACGTGGTACGCAGCCACGCTGGGCTGGGGCTGGAAAATCCGGGGAAGGCAATTTCCTGTTTCATCTTGTCAGGCTGGAGAAGCCTCGGAGTGCTCGGGTTGGGTTGGATGGACCGGCCATTAGCCGGTAAGGTGATCCGGTTGCTGGTACTGGTCAGTGGTCACTCGGCGAGAACCACCAGTGACTATTCCATTTTGTCAAGTTGAAATGATGACTGGTAAAGGTAAAGCGCAAGGCCAGTTTTGCTGGTTGGAGTCGCAGAAAAACTTGCTACCCCTCAGGGGAAATTGATTGATCCAGAGTAAGTGGGTTACAGAGGGAAAAACTAGAACGAGAGAAAAAATTTTCCCTTCCGTGCGTCATTTCTGAGATCCACCTTTGTCTGCACTCTGCAGTCCAGGCTCTTCCGGTCTGGGGAAAGCTGTCCTCTTTGAGCCTAGTGTCTGTTCTCCTGTCGATTTGCGGTTCCAGGTCTGTCATAAGTCTCCAACAGTACATAGTATGTCTATGTGGAGTAGACAGAAACAGGTAGCAGTTATGACGGTGTCAATTACGAAGCAGCTCCTTCCGTGAGACCGATGAGGATTGCCTCCGAATGAACTAGATACTTGGTAGAATCCAAGATTGAGAAGATTCTAAGATCCTCCATCCTTGACTCGATCGTCGCCCCTGACTTGATCTTGACGCTAGACTCGAGCAAGGCTAGTCGGATCTACAAATGCCAAGCCATACACTTTGCATCCTGCTCCTCCTCCAAGACATCACTATTGAAAAGACTCTTCTCCTACTCAAGTCATGGGGTGGATTATTGTCTGCCATGAAAATAGTGCTATGACAGTAGATCCATCAGCAAGTCCTCAGCCTCAGAAAGGGTAGGTACAGGGAGAATATCCTGCAGCCTGCCATGGAGATTAATGATGGCTTGGAATGTCCTAAGAGATGGCAGTTTCTGCGACAAGAATGATGCAATTGTACATGGACTTCGGTACATGCGGGGTTTTTTATTTTTTGTTCTTTTTGCTTTGTCCGCCTTTCTTTACGCCTCGACAGCAACCATCCATGGTCCAATAACAATAGGCCATGTTACATCTATCTTAGACTACGTAGAATCTGTTGTAGATGGTGAGAAACGATAGTCTGGGATTCCCCATGCAGATTCACCAAATAAAGATGCCACGAGACTACCTTAATTAGGATTTCGCCGCATGATCCGTCCCCCAGGAACTGCGACGCAATAGCCAACGGAGAGGATCTGAAGCATCGGCGGAGACGGTGAGGAGTGGGAATTGGAAACATCGTCATTCCTACCATGTCTAGAACCATCTGCTCTCCTCATCGTGACCAACACTGGATTGCTTCGGTGGCATTTTGGGAAAGAGGCGAGTGCTCAAAGCGACTCGTGACTGACCATCCAGCAATTTCCATTACCCCAGAAAATCCTAGGGAGCACATGATTGGTTCCAAAGGCCGTTTCTATTACGTTTGCCACGCCGCGGAGGGACGGTGTGCTCGTCAGATGATCTCCAGGAATTTCTTAAAGCAGCAGGGGCTACTGGCTGCCAACTGGACGTTTTACCCAATAGGAGACTGACCTGCTGACAGAATTCCAGCATATTTACTTTTGATTGGTTGCTGCGCTGCTGAATCAGCGAATTGTTCTTGCTGCCGCCTTACAGCCTGCCGAAGAACCGCGCGCATACTCTCGGAGGCTTACCTGATACGTCGACCGTGAGAGAATTTTCGCTGGGGAAAATTTTTTTTGGTTTCCACGACAAGACTAACCACCAACTCCACTTGGGTATCCAATATCCACAAACAGCACCGCGTGTGACCCTCTGGTTCTGTCCGTGACTCTTGTGCCTGGCAAGGAGCGCCCCAGCTGAGGCACTAATGGTGCAATTTGGTGCAATGATGGTAGACCATGACGGCACAAGGGGCATAACTATATAAAACCTTCCCCGCCAGAATGTTTGGGTCCCATACTATACAGTCTCCATCCAGCAAACAAAGAAATTTCTTCTCCTTGTTACCTCGCGTCCTCTAATACTCATCGCTAACCTTCTCTCTTACACGTCTTCAATCTTTAAAAGACGTATCTACTTGATATTCGAGCATTCTGCTTCTGCGTGCTTGAAGTCGCCTACAATTCCGCGCGGTCACGTCAGCTATAGACTAGACGTTGAGCTTCATCCATTAGATGGTTCTTTGCTGAGAGTTGGCTCTTGAGTCAATCGCACGATCCGCATACCACGAGCTTGATTTGAGTATAATCCGGTCAAAGGACATCCATCACCACTACCGACACTATGCCTGCGAAAATGAACTACCGCGTGATTGAACCTCACCCGTCCGTTCCTCACACCAGCCGTCCAGCCGTACATACAGCTCGCGGAGGTGCTGGCAACGTCATCAGCCTGAAGAACACCAAGACTACCGATTCGCAAACAGCCACCGGCCCCGCCTCTCTGACGCGCCTGGATTCAAATGTCCCCAGCACCTTCAAGTCCGGCCGCGGCGGCGCAGGGAATGTCCGCAGCAGCAGTGAACGCGCAATCTTCAGCTTTGACGAGGAACTGGAACGGGAATTGCGCCGTGCCGCTCCTGTCTACCATGTCGGCCGAGGAGGTGCCGGCAACATGATCTACGGCGATGGCTGCATTAGCGGCGGCAGCATCCTCACTCGCAAGTTTTCTTCCAGCAGCACGGCATCAGCGAGCAGCACCGGCTCCACTCGGGAAAAGGCCCTTCGTGGCCTGGAGAAGGGCTGGGGGAAGATCAGGGGTATGGCTTAAGAGGTTGCCATTCCCTCTTGCATAATGCGCTTCTCTGCGCCTAACGACATGACGATTTACGACCACCAACAAAAAAAGTTTTTCCTTTTTCGATTATCATCTCCTTGGGGAAGTTAACTATCACCTACGCTTTTCTTAATCCAACTTCAACATCCTTCGTGCGATATGATTGCTGTGGAGCGTCCTGGCCGACAATCCGCGGCTACAATCTATCCTTTTTGCTTCAACATTACTGTATCGGCCTGATACCCCTGCTACTATACATCTGAAATCTGCTTCCTTTGTCTATGATTCCCCAAGGATCTTCAACATCAATTGCGCCTATCTCCCATCACTCATATCATTCTGTTTCTTTCAAACTATTCAGCGTGTTTGTGCCATGCCAGATTTTTGGATTGGCATCGGGGAGGCCATCTGCATCTGCATTTGCATCTGCATCCCTCATGTATCTTAGCTTAGCGTACCACTGGCGTTGGCCACACCAATTGGAAACAGGAAACAGATTTCTGTTATTGGATCTTTGCTCTACCAGTAACCTTTACAGTGACTTGTAGTAGTCCGTAGTCATGTCATCCCTTAAAAGTTAGACCAGACTTACGTACCCGTACTGACGATATGGCATACATTTGATCATCGTACGACATGCGCTCATTCCGTCTATATTCCAATGTCTATTATGTACAACATCTGCCTTCCGACGGCTCCCGCTGATACAGTACAGGGCAAACACTACCTGAACCCAACCAACCCCACTGCAGCGTGAAGTAAATTACTTGCTGTTTGATCGATTCGGGCAGCGGGGACATGGATTTCATGCATAGATTGAGGCGCTATTATGTGGTATGTTCCATTGTGCCCAACATCAACAGAAAAAGAAAGGTATAGTGCGTGATGGGATGAACGATGCATCAATGGCTCAAGAAGAGGGAAGAAGAAGGGTATCAAAAGCCCAAGCCTAGCTGCCACAGGTAGTGGTTTGGCTCGATTTGAGACCGCCGGACTTGGTGGCGGCTGGGGTGGTGTCTATGGCCAGAAGCCGGAGGAAAGGAGAGGCCGAGGACTACCGCATTTGTTGGTGTGAGAGACATGTTTAGGCAAATTTCCTGTGGATGATCTCCGGGTCTTCATGCCATTCGTCTGCGCTCACCCACATCTGATGGAGGTGTTAGTTGTGTCTGTTTTGGGTATTGGGTCCCGAAGTGACTTGGACGTACCTTGCGGAATGTGCTGAGCCCGGCGAGGATACCACCGCCGATCCAGGTGGTGTATTTCCGTTCTGCCGGAGCAGAGATGCGGATCTTCATGTCCTCCACGGCCAATCTCTTGATCTCGCGCATTAGCCGGTCCGGGAAGTTCTTGCACAGTGTTGAGCCACCTGAGAGGACGATGTTGAGGTATAGGGATTTCCGGAGATCGAGATCTGTGCGGGTGATGGCGTCTTGGACGATCTGATGAACGCCGGGGTATTCGAGGCCGATGAGTTCGGGCTCGAATAGGATCTCGGGGCTCTATAGCGCTCTTGGCCGATCTACTCTGGTTGATTAGTTCGGGTCCCCGGGAATTTGACGGTAGAAGGGCTGACCTTGATCTTGTGCCCGTCAGGCAATACGTAGTCGACGGCTTTCGCCTCCGACTTGTGGTAGCTGTTCATCCAGTCCTTCTCTTCCCGCTTCGGATCCAACGACACGTAGCAGACCTTCTCCTTGATCATCCGCACCACCTCCTTCTCCGCACTCGTATGCAGCACATGCCCATTCTTCCGCAGCAGCAACTGCAATTGCTCCGTGACATCTCGCCCCGCAACATCGATCCGTCGTATACTATTGGGAATCGCGAAACCCTCAAACACAGGCACCGCGTGGGACACCCCGTCCCCTGAGTCCAGCACCACGCCCGTCGTGCGCCCGGACGCGTACAGCGACAGCACCGCCTGGATAGACGTATACAGCGCCGGCACATTGAACGTCTCGAACATGATCTGGGCGGCGACATCGCGGTTCTTGCGCGGGTTGAGCGGCGGCTCCGTCAGGAGCACGGGGTGTTCCTCCGGTAGCGTCTTCAGCTCGTTCTCGTACACGTAGTGCCAGATTTTCTCCATGTCGTCCCAGTCCGTCACGATGCCGTGTTCCAGTGGGTATCGGATCTTGAGCAGCCCGCGCAATTCCTGTGCTCGTTGCCCGATAAACACGTCGCCCTCTAGACCGCCGGCCATCACTCGGGGGTGTTTTGGCCGCCCGACGAACGAGGGGAAGAAACATGATGGGATCTCTTCTCCGGCGAAACCGGCGCGGATTGTGCCGCTGCCATTGTCGATGACAATGGGGGCGTTGTGAAGGGTTGCCTCGGCCATTCTGTGAGGAGAAGGGTTGTGTTTGGGGAGGAAGTCGGTAGGGGGAGGCGGCGCGAATTGTGGTGCCAATGGCCCTGAGGCCTATTCTTGCTGGTTGTGATTCGTAAGACCGGTAAATGTGAAAGATTATAACTGTCAGCTTGTGAAGTGAGTTCTAGTTCATCAGCGTGGACATTGGCGATGTATGCAAAATAGTTGTTTTTAGAGGGGATGTTATCCCGCAACTCTTCGCGTCCGCTCAGTTTCCCATCAACAAGGAGCTTGGGCCAGCCGACTATTGCTGCTACAGATGTACTTCCTACGACTATTTTGTCGCGACACAAAAATTTATCACCGAATATCACGATAACGGATCCTGAAGGCTTGAAAACAATATAAATACCTAAGCAGGCAAAATCCAATGTTCATGGACGGTCGTCCACTAAACAAACAAGGCATCGGCCTTTCTTCTATTTGACCACACGGCTCGATCGACCAACAAACCTGCCTTGAGGCCCATGGAGGAGGCACAAAAGCTTGGACCAGATATCCTGAGGTCAAGCTTGGAGCAATTCCAACAGTTGGAAGCACCGAGGATGAAGGAGTAGCGGCGACGTGATCGTTCGCAGTTCATATGAGAGTAGCCAAGAGGTAGCATAAATCATCAATCATAAGGGAGTTGACGGTATTTTTCAATCCACAAATCCCATCTCATCAGACATTACTTGCTCCAGTGTCGGTTGGTTTTTCTGGCCAGGGCCACGAACAGGCGGCCACCTTAACATGCGAGCTCGCAGTTGTTCAGCCTGATGTAGTGCTTGGCAAAGATTTCTGCAAGGTAATTAGCAAAGCCTGGAGCACATATAGCGGAACCTGAAACCTACTGATAGTGACTAGCAACCACGTATCCTTGTTTCTGTAACTGGCGCGCTAGTTCCTCTTGATGGTTGTCCTGAAGAGAAGGATTGGGCACAACGATGAGGGGATGCCCATCCGTAACACCTCGAGAATAGTGCCAGAACCTAACAAGTATTCCATGTCAGATATCAGGAAGATGCCAGTGCTGGTTAACGGCCTAGAAAGATGATCCATACCTGCGTGACTGATAACCAACCCACCACTTCGTCCTTTACTTATGTCCGCCTGAGCCAATGCAAACTCTCCTCCCAGCCCATGCTCGTGGAAGGAGAAACCACCGATATCTATTCTGCGCCAGGGCCTGCGCTCAGGTGGATACTGCTTGAGGAAATTATCATAAATCGCCGCATTTTTGCCGTATTGTACCAGTAAATGCGAGTAGCCATTTTTCTCCAGGGCCGTCACAAATGAGGGATCCAGCGCAGCGCGTACAAGCTCTTCAAAAGAAGCAGTTGCGCCGACTGTCACAAAGCATACTTTGATCGCGAGCTTCGCTGACATGACCGCAAACTAAGTCCCCAGGAACTCCGTTTGACAGGGTATTTGATCGATGCCTTGACAGGGCTGCCGAAGCATTTCAGCTCCTAAGCTAGATATGCCCTTTGAATAAATATGCAAGTCCGTTATCAACCAACATCAAGGTCAGACAAAGGAGATGATGAATGGTTGTTGCAGTACTTCGGAGTGATGCATTGATATGATGGCAGCAGTGAATGCGCTTATCCCAAACGGGATAAGCGTTGCCATGCGAAGTTCATCCGCAGAAAACATCTCCGACATGCAAATCCCAGGAGGAATTCGACAACCCCCCACGGCCAATCTTCGCCCGCAATGGCCTTTGTCGCAAGATATCTGGGCCGTACGGCCTTTTCAGTCGCTCGGAGAGGTCCCGCTGCTATTCAATCCCGCCCATTCTCTGTCTCACCCTTCAAATTCATGCCGGAAGATCCGCCAATTACCAAAGAACGTTCGCCGAAGGATAAATTGCCTGACGTGTCGGAGTACTCGCCAGATCTTCTCAGCAAGGAGGAGCAGTCAATGTATGATATGCTATCCCCGGAGGAACGGGAGGCTTTTGACGCAGAGCAACGTCGCATGATCGAAGAATTCAACGACCCACAAGTGCGAGCGGCCAAATTTGCGGAGATCGAGAAGAGTGTGAGAGACATAGAGAAGGAAGTAGGGTTGCGATTTGAGGATGTTCCGGACAAGTCCCGCGGCTTCTGGGCGGAGGAAGAAGACGATGAATTCGGCCTCGTGGAGGACGCAGACGACGATTTCCATGACGACGAAATCACCTCCATGGCGCACGCGGAAGTCGAATTGCACCGGGAGATTCGTGAATATGCTCGCATTGCAGCTTGGGATATGCCCTTACTGAGCAGTAAGCTCCAACATTTCTAAGCGACTATGGTTCAATGCTAATCTGGCCTCCAATTCCTAGAACTCGCCAAACCTTTCACACTGCCTCCTGAAACTCACATCCTGCGCTTCCGCTACACCACGTATATGGGTGAACAGCATCCAGCCGAGAGCAAGGTGGTCGTCGAATTGGCCAGCAAAGATCTTGTCCCCAGATATCTCTCCGAGGAACAGCGCCAGACCTTCCTGAAACTCGTGGCAACCCGCTACAACCCCGATACGGACATTGTACGCATGTCCTGCGAGAAATTCACAACTCGCGCCCAGAACAAGCGATACCTGGGTGACATTGTCAACACCCTGATCAAAGAGGCGAAGGAAGGCGACTCCTTCGCAGACATCCCGCTCGACCTCCGCCATCACAAGCCCAAGACTCAACTGCGCTTCCCCGAGGAGTGGGCGATGACAGAGCAGCGGAGGAAGCAACTCGAGGCCACACGGAGAGAGAGACAGCTCAACGAGCAAACACGGCGGGCAGTCGTGGATGGGAACGCCATCGTCGCTCAGGCCACTCTGTCTCTGCCTTCCTTGAACCCTGCCTTGAGCGCCAGAGCCGCTGAGGAGCGGGAGAAGGTTGCTGTCAAGGTTGGAGCCAAGGGCCTGAAGAAGAGAGTACGTTAGACCCTCGTTGCGGTGGTATATTGAACTTGTCTGGTTCATGTATTCGATGGATGTCTTCTTTGCGTGATTTTGAGTTCGAAAATATCAAGGGCGGGCGCACATGTCAAACGGTCGTATAGACTATCACTTACACTATTGTACAATATTCTACTTCATGAGCTTTTCCCATCTTTTATACTGGGATGTAAGTATACTACGTTTCTGCTTCATGCCTGTACTACGAAAGAGGAATCAGAGAAAAGCTTCCAACATGTCCAATGCAATCGACGATCATATGTCATTAAGGCCATCCCTTTTTTTGTGATTTTATTTAAAGATATAAGATACCCCTCAACCGTCGTTATAACAGACGACAGACACAGGAGGACGACGAGAGATCCGCCCAAGTTCAAAAGTCACGAGAACAAAATTCCGGCGTGGTCCAAAGTCGAAGCCAACTTCAACTCATCAACCTCGCAATGGTTTTGTTCACGACCTCCAAACTAGCAGTTCAATCTCATATCCTTCCTCTGTTCGTAAATTAAATAATCGGTTGAAGACTCAAAGTCACCCGACGAAATCAAGAGAGAGTGACAACAAGGAAAAGATCAGGAATCGGAAATGTGAAGAAGGAAAGATGTCAGACCGTCGACGAATGTCCACAATCGGAATCCATGCTGACGCTGTCGACTTGAATGACCTCCATTTCTCCATGTTGCCCTCCGCCATCGGATGGTGGGTATATTTAACCATGGGCGAGTGAGTGAATATTGTACGAGCCACCCAGACCAGCTTGGCGTGGCATCGTAGGGGGAAAGTGACTAAAAAGAGAAGAAGAGTGGCCACGGTCCGCTTGCTGTCACGCGAGGGTGAGACCCGACTGCAAGAGACAGTCGTTCAACTGGCGAACCGGGCAAGGATTCTCTCTTATATGGGGTTACTTGGCAGGTCCTCCGCCCATGCCGAAAATGTCATCGGGGACGTGACGGCGGGACGTTTGAGGACGGTAGGGTTCTTATGAGTGAAAACGCCGATAGGTGGGAGGAGCGGCTTGAGACGTCCGTCGTCGTCGTCGTCTTTTCTGGCGCGGCTGTTGAGGTAGGCAGTAGGGCTGGGCTCAGAGCATGAGAGGCACGACTCGGTCGAGGACGAGCGGCGGTGGCGGGGAGACTCAGAGGACCTGGGGGTTCCCTGCACGACACCGACGCCGGTCTTGGGCGCCACAAAGAAGTCATCGTCATCGTCATCGTCATCGTCATCGTCATCGTCGAAGTCCTTGACAGCCTCAGCAGCAAGGTTGTAGATACGGACACTCTGCTGGCGAATCTGGTTGGCATCCGAGGCATTGGTCTCCGTACCACCATTAGGAGCAGAATTAGGAGCGGCAGGACGGTCCTGGAACAGGCGACGAGACTTGGGTTGCACACGTTTACTGCGAGGCTGACCTGCGAAGACGTCCGAATCGGCGGGCACCGTGTTGGTCTTTCCAGGCAGGGCGGTAGCTGCGAACATGTCGTGCAGACCACGCAAGAACTCGTCACGCTTGGCACGCTCTGTGGGATCGGAGATAATCTGTTGACCAGAACGACTCAGATCGGCGGATGCGTAGTCAGGCAGGGGATCGAAGGAGAGCAGGTCGATCTTCTTATTGTGCGCATTGGTACCGCGATTCTGGGGAGCGGAAGCATGAACTAGGCCACCCTGGTTGCGGACGTGTGAGCTCGAAGTCTGAAGCTGTGTACCCTGGGCCTGCTTGGAACCGTGATGGTGAGTAGAACCTCTAGGCGAGCTGACATTGCTGAAGTTGGGGCGACCTGGAAGCGCAAGAGGAGTCGGCTGGTGCATGGAGACAGCGCAATTGCCCTTAATGCTTCTTTCAGTATCGGAATGCTCAGCAGTTGCACCGATTGCCAGACGAGAGCCCCTCGCAGCGCCGCGGTCGGAAGCACCATCATCGTGCAAGCCGGCCAGAGCACGCGACTCACGGGTCTGGTTGCCTCCGCCAGACAGAAGGCTTGGGACATTGTACTTGTCGCGGTACCAACGGGGAATATCGCGCAGACCAAGCTTCTCGAGCATGGAGCGATCGGTGGGCATCTCATGCTTAAACAGACAGCCTACATGATTGTTAGGCCACACTTGTCGATTGCCTGTGGTCATGGATTGGACCCTACCTTGCTGCTGATAGTCGCACTCCCCGTGGCGGATCCAATATGAACAGTATTCCTTTTTCTGGTGACTACCCTATGCCATAGTCAGTCTTGGTCTTGCTCTTGTCCTAAACCGAGGAACGACTCACCTGTCTGGGGGTTCCGCCATTGCTTCCAGCAGCGTGACCCGCAACAGTGCCAGCATTAGGAGCAGTACCCACATTAGCAGGCACAATCCAGCCGTGGTTAGGAGGTGGTGTAGGCATCACCCAGTTCTGACCATTGCCCTGCGGATACATAGGCTGAACAGCCAGTCGCTGCTGGGGAGCAACACCGCTTTCATCCGGCATGTATCTGGGCGCGGGACCTTGGCCTTGGTTACCATAGTCCCTAGCACGCTGGCCGGGGACGTTGGGGACATCGACTGGAAACTGGAAACGAGAGAAAGGAAGAGTACTCTCCACAACATAGAACGAGCAACGAGGGCCCACCGTACCAAGGCTGGTCATGCCCTGGGTATCACCCGGAGAAAGAACGCGTGGGGCCGAACGAATATTGACGTGGATAGGAAGCTCGTCAACAGCAATAAGAGGAACAAGGGTGCCATTAGGTCTGGCGCAGAAAAACTGAGGACGCAGAGGGGAGGACATGACGTCGTGATTCGCCCTCCTGAGCTTGACTTTGACACTCAGAAAGCCTGCAACTCAGAAGATCTGAGAGGTTATCAAAGATGTGGTCTTGAGATCGCTTCAGAGGATATAACAGGGTAAGTGTCGCTGTGGAGTTGAATGATGAAACAGCTTTGCAAATGGTGGGTGTTGAGAGAGAGAAAGAGGGACGTGAGAAGAGACCAGCTAGGATATTTCTCGCGTCTATCGCTGAGTGAATACTCGCGAGGTATTCTGATGTTTTGTGTGCGATGTGAAGCGAGCTGGACATTCACTGCTGAATAGGGCAGAGGCTGGAGCAGCACACTACCATCTATGTGTTGTGATCACAATATGGATGAATCTACTAAATCAATGACAGGCAGCGTATATAGCGGCTTCAAGAAACACGTCTAAGAAGGAAAGATCAGCCGCCAGGAGGAAAACAGAGTATATAGGCAGATGGGATGAAGCTATCCCAAAGTCTGAATACTAGACCAAAAAGACTATATTGACCAAGCTTCTAGAAAAAGACAACGAACAACAATAAAAGAACGAGAGGAAAGAAAGAGAACCACTTTTCTTTAAGATTCAAAGGATCCAAAAGAGCAAGAAGGAAAAAAGCTTCAAGCTTAGTTCTTTAAAAACAATCATGGCCTGTTTGCCTCCATCCTAGACCATATGGTGTTGGCATCGGTACAACAGCTCAACGGATGGCTGCAGTTGCTCTCCCACTCGCCTTCTTTGCTTTTTGCTCTCCCTTCCCTGAGTCTCCTCTGAACAGGCCAACGGTTTTCTGGAAGAGTAGAGAAGGCCAAACTCTTTTTGTATTGTCTTATTTCAGCATCTTGATTGTCTTGAATGGCGGATCCTATGGATGAGATCATGAGGCTGATTGTTCGGGACGTAAGGTTGCACCTTTGACTACTGAGGATGTCTTCTGTTGGAGCCCGCCAGCTTTACCAGGCTCAAGACTTGCATATTGTTCGAATAGACGTTCTCACGCTGATCTAAGGGTATAAACTAAAGTACATCATGGTATCAAAGTCGTAGAAAAGATTCCATTCCGATCCCCGTGTACGCCATTGATGCACGTCCCTATGTAAGAACCACATTCCAGTTCATTCCTCTGCCATAGAAAGTCAAAGAGCGCCGAAACAAACAGAAAAATAGAGAAACAGCGCAGATTATCTTTCTGATGTTGGGAATCTTTGTCCGGGCTTACTCGGGCCGAAGGACGTTGTCCCATTGCCAGCCGGGTAACCGGTCAGATCGATAACAGGCGACCCAGTAGAACCGGTGTTGGTTGTACGAGGAATTCCATTACTAACCTGGCTTACTGCAGCCCTACTGGCCAAAATCCTTCGACGCTGTGCAAGGGAGCCGCGTATCCCTTGCAGGTATTTCTTGGCTTTCTCAATAAGCTCGCGATCCTCAGTGCTGTGCTTCAGAGCGTCTAACATCCTTGCCACTTGTGTCTCAGACCGAAGGTGGGGACAAGTACGTGCAAGCCCATAATGCGCAAGCCCGCATAGACCACAATGTTCAACGCCGGCCTGCTTCAAGGGGCAAGAGCCCACCGGATGATGCTTGGCACAGACAAAGCAGGGCTGGTGACGCGCCTCCACATTGCCGTCCATGCCTGTTGCACCGTATGCAGGGACTCCGTCCTCTTCGGCAGCGATACGTTTGAAGGGAGGGGCTGTACGCGTGGTTAGTACCGAGGAATCAGTGCTCAGGCGGGGGACTGCGTTACCTTTGGATTTCTTGGAGGACCGGTCCATCTCGTCAGAATCCATCCCAGGGTCATTGTCTGATTCAGATTCTATGACCTCGTCCGTCTTGTATTCAACGTCATTGTCGGCCTCGCGGCGAACCTTCACAGGCGAGACGTCCGTCGTGTCTTTTCCGTAGTCTACTGCTGCTCGCTTTCGTTTGCCGCGGCCCAGCGTTTCTGCCTTTCTCCTGGCCTCTTCTGCCGCCGCTTGCTCACGCTCCTGCAAAATCTTCTCCCATAGCGTATTACTAATTGCGGGATCTTCACCTTTATCTTCAGTGTCCTGCAGTTGGCCTTCCAGATTTTGGTTGTCATTCGCCCAGACCCTGGCGAAGCTGAATTGAGACTCAGGCGCACTTTCGTCAGGCGTCCTCGCTTGCTCTTCCTGACTCCGATCAAGGAGCTTGTCAACAGATTCCGAATCGTACTGAACGTCCCCTGAGTCGTCATCATTAAACAGTGCTTGGGCTCCGTGACGCAATATAGATTCCAAGTCCCGCCCATCATCCTCCTCCGCGACCATCCTGTCAATGAGGACATGATCAAGGACCATCTTCTTCTTGCCAATCTGCATAATTTTCTCTTCAACACTTCCGCGAGTCATAAGCTGAAAGACAAGAACTTTATTCTTCTGACCGATGCGGTGAGCGCGAGAAAGTGCCTGCATATCTTGATGAGGATTGAAGTCTGGATCCATGATGATAACAGTATCTGC